GCACAATACGAATCCACTGTCAAATTTATGAATTCAAATTTTTTTTATTTCCTGATTCAGTGTATAGCTGTGAACTTCTTACGATGTGAGAGAATGTTTCTATTATTGAATCTCTCCAAAGTGCTGTTGGAACTGATAATCGTGTTGCCCACTTGTTTCACAAAGTTTAAACCTTTAAGTATAAATTCAAAGTTGAATTTTTCTGTAACTTAATAACGAGCCGTAGTAACTTAATTTATGTCTCAAAACTTAATATGCAATATATCACATCATTGCGCTACTTTGTAATTATGCATTAACCCACTAAGGTAAGTGATAATATCTTTATCATGAGAGCCATCACAATTTATTTTATTCTTTCGTCCGCGTTCCGATATTTCTTTGACTATACTGGTGGTTGTTGTTCGTAGTATATTTAGTATGTGTGTAGTATGTAGAAGCGACTCGTTTGCACTTTGCGGGTTAGCTTACATCCCGATTGGCGAAACGTCTCCAAATCGGTTTGAATTCGTCGATGAATTGATTCATCGATGAATCAGCCAGAGAAGGGGTGACTACGCCTCAATTCACCGAGGAAAGCCCAGAACGGTTGAAACCTCCCGGAGCCGTCATCTGTAACGCTATTTGATCAGTGTGAAAGCAGAACGTCATTCTGTCCAAAACGCCTGGCAAGTGTGGGCAGTAGTCACAACCATTTGTCAAGATGGAATAAAATGGAAAGCGCAAACAAAAATGGCCCACAGTTCCCTGCATGCAGCTCGAGTCGCATTACATCGTACGACTGATAGATAGACCAGTAATGACGGAATTATAGTATTCCGGAGTTGCAAACCCAAAATTGGAAGACTTCAGTTGAAATCATACGAGAAAACAGACAGATATGGAAAACTGTGGCAACCTGAACGAGCGTGAGCATCGAGACCGGGCAACGGTGATCTACCAAAGAGAAGTCAATTGTCGTGTTGTTAATATAATAATTTAATAGATGGATTTAGGTCATATCATCATAAAAGTTGGCCGAAAACATATTTTGAAGGCTTAAGCGTTTGAAACAAATGCTTAATTCTATAACAAGTATTCTAGTAAAAATCTTCACATAAAAATTCCGGTTTGTGAATAAGAACTAATGCAACGCTTGGACATAAAACTACTCAAGGCACAAAACGGTAATTTCACTAGAGTAGAAGAAAGAGCTAGCGGCAAGAATGCCTCATCATTGAGGAACCGATGAAATGATAACACTCTAGCCGACCCCTGCACCACTTGCAGGTCCTTACTTCTGCAGGAATAGATGAATATCATTTACTTAAAACTGAGATTCTAGCCTTTCGGTAGGCTACAGTACTGAAAATCCAAAAACGACGTTGTAGTGCGGTAACACTAAATATATTGCAGCATTTTAATAAACCACTGTCTGTAATAATTAAGGACCTGAATGAAAACGGAAGCAAACATCATTCCATAAGGCAAGTAAATTCAACGATGCAATAAAATAAATAAAACTAACAGCTCGATAGCCTCATCAACGATTATTCAGCTTTGCCAAAACCAGAAACAACGCAGACCAAACGTCAAAGGCCTGCATCTCACTGCAAAACAGCTTAACCGCTTGTTCATCTAACAAGCGCAGAAACGGTAGCTTTTACTGCCGAACCACTAGAAGCAGTAACGAAGAAGGTAGAGCGGAACAGACCACTGGCAGTCGGTCGACAGCGCACGGGTACTCGTACGAACTTCATTGATCTTAAATGACGACATAAAACTAAATTAGAAGAAAAACCTGATTAACGGTACTTCAGATTGTAGCTAGTGCACTTCAGAGAGTATGGTCCGTCTTCGATACTCATTTGTATCTGAAACACGGTTCACCAAAATTAGCATATGCGAACCACATGTACTTGGTTTACCAGCTCATCTTTATCGGAAAGATTGCGTATCTCAATCTTCATGCTTTTAGTGCATCCGACGGCAACTTCGCCGAACTCCAGAACCTCCGGGTAAATCGTGATGATGCTATACGTTAAAAATGAAATTAACAAGATGCCTAATTCTTTTTCAAAAAAAACTAGATTGGAAACGTCTACCTGTTGGTAGGAGTCACAGGAACTGGCACAGGATCTGACGGTTTCGTTGTCGACAATTTGCTACAGAAGGATTTTGTTTTACAACATTCATAGCAATTGAATAAATATTACAACAAACGAAATTTGTGCGTTATCTCTGGTATAAGCTTTTCTAAATTTAATTATCTACCCGTTTTAATTTAGTATGTTATACATATTCATATATCTATGTATGTATTTAGGTATGTATGCATTAGATTTATTTAGTGTTTTAATTTGGTATTTAAAATGCCCTATGGTTGCTGATAGGATCATGGTCTGTTCGCCATTAAAAACCTTTCATTGAAAGGGTGACAGCTGAAAGCTGAACATGGAAACAAAGACATGTCTCAAACCGAATGAATGCATAGAAGGAGACAGCAGACATTTGTCACCACTTAACGAAGATCAGACGCTCAAACACAGTCAAAAAGCTTAATCTCAAGATTGAGTAATCTGTTCACGCGTTGGTGTTCATACTGAAAACTGAAAAATGCATTAAACGATTTACATATATACAACGCAACTGAATAAATTGGTCAATCGGCTGACTGGCCACTATCGACATTTCGGCTTGTCTCTCGTGAGCCTTTTTCAGAATGGTCCGCATTGGTTTCCGCAGCTGGTGTGGTCCGCAGCTGTTGCAGTGTCTGGAGCCGAAGGCCTAGACTCCATAAAAGCTGTGGACCACACAACCAACTGCAGAAACTCGGACTGCGATAACATCGAAAAAGGTTCGTGAGAGACGAGCCGAAACATCGGTACTGGTCGATCACCTGATTGCGTTGTGCATAAATAAACCGCTTTTATGCATTTTTCAGTTTTCGGAACTTAATCTTGAATTTTCAGTGAAACAGGTTTAGGACACTCTTCACTACAGATAATACCGTTGGTTGGTGAGGCTAACTGGCAGTCGCCTTTCTTATTCCACGTTTTCTATTGCAAAAACTGTCACAGTTAAGGCAAATAACGCCTATATGTTACACAGCGATCGCCAGAATTCTGGAATGTTACATGTTCAACAGTAGCGAACCGACCTCAATTTGAGGTATTTACCTTCCGCCAAAAACTCTGCTTTCCACGCATGTCGTCTCGTCATATCCAACCGGTAGAAAAACTGTGCTGTCGGCATCGCCAAATTTGGGAATGCTGTTCATAACTATCACCTCTATCGTCCGTATGCTACCAGCAAACATACGTTCCTCGTGCTCCAGAATGCCGCAGCCATATTCTGAAAGGAACATGATTTAGAAATTACCATTATATACAGGGACAATAGCTGTACCAGTTACCGTAAACATGAGTTCGCGCTCCAGAGCATGTCACAGTAACACCTAGTTAGTGGCCTTCGCTTCCCGATTCTTGAGCAAAGGTAACATTTGAAAAGGACAAAATAATAATCGCTTATTTACCAACTCGTTTCACACCATACACTGGCGTCCTCATCACCACAGTGTTACACAAATGAAATAAAACTCTATTGCGAAAAAACAAAGTTTCGTGTGCCCTGACGATGCTAGGACGTGGGTAGCGAAACGGGTTGACAATAAAGTATTAATATCTGCGTTGTTTGGTGCCCTTAGCCATGAATTGCAAAACCATCTGAAATATCATCAAAGGGTCCTGAAACTGAAATTTTACGTCATATATATTGTCAAAAGAGTCATGTTATAATTTATATACTAAACATAATAAACATGGTAATCATGATGTGGAAGTGGTTACTTTAAATATGAGGCGGAAGCCATGTTCGATTCGCACTTCACTTCCAAATCGATTGATGAAACCTTTTGTATTGATAGTTCCCTTTCCTACTATGGCGTTGAAATTTTTTTTAACCATTATGTACCTTGGCGACTTACTGCGTATGTTAATACTGCAATGCTACAAACCGAAGTACCTGCACATCATGCATTGCTGTTTTCATCACTATCATATTTAGAATATTTTTCGCCATTGAAAGTAAAACGTGCTCATTGTACGTGTAGGACTGACAACCAACAAAATATTGGACGCCATAACAGCGCATATTACAATTGAAAGCATTTTTTACGTAGCAGCCATTGTAACAACTAAGCATGGCCACAGAGTTAAAATGGCCGGCAAAAGAAACTTTTCTTTTTTATCGTGCAGCGATCAACTATGCAGTAACATCTGCGAAGATTCGCCCAAAAAATGTGGACATCGAAATAGCAGCAATCCGCATCCAGTGATTACGAAAATGCACTAACCGTGTCGAGCGATAGTTCTGACAAAAGCTAGAAAACTTTTGGTAAGAGCTCACTGGATCCTCAGAGAAATTTTTGGGAGTAGACAAAGAAGAGGGAGAAATAGCAACAAAAGAAAAAGAGAGAGAAGAAAAAAAAGAATCTGAACGAAAATAACAAAGAAGAATAAAGAGCGGGAGAAAGTAAAGTAGGAAAGGAGACAAAAACGATGGGAAAAATTAAATAAAAAAGAAGGAAAAGGAAAAAGATAAGCAGAACAGGAAGAGAAAAAGAACGAAACGGTAAAAAGAAATGACGCAGGAAAAACTATAAGATGAAAAAAAGAAGCTTAGTGCGGTGGCTAACATGGTTAAATAATTTACAGAATTCTAAGCGTTGACTTTGGTCTCTGTCTCACAAACTATCTTCAGAACAATATTCAGTGATACCCTTTTAGATAGTTTACAAAATCATCCTTCGTTTCTGATCCACTGATAACTGAAGTCGTCCACAAGATTTTTCTCTAAATTTCTGTTTTCTGTGATTCTTATCCATCTTGATCGAATGAACTTCTTCAGCTCATCCTTCTATCGATGTAGAATCTTTATACAGGCTGCTTCCTGCCTCTTGAAATTAAATCCATGTTTCTCTGATCCATCTGATGGTCAGTTTTTCTTCCATGTGTCCGCCTGTGCATGAAGAGAGATTGCAGAAGCTAGTTTATACTGTTACCCATAACCCATTCATGTCCACCTACTTTTTCTACTTGTTTCCAACATAGACCTTGCCTTGCTGCGTAGTCCGCAGTTTATGAATTGCTTGCAGGCTGACGGCCTACATTTCACATCCCTTGGCAATTGTTGCTGCCAGTTATCAAGGGTAATTATTGTTGTCATGAATATGGCGAAACGTTTTATCGATTTCATGTAATCAATGTGACGCTGTTAACTAAGGAATACCACTTTTCGCCATAAAATCTGCACCACTGCCCATTACTTTATTTCATACTATTATATGTATGATTGCAGAAAAACGTACCTGGCACAACGTTTTCTTCGCCGTCAAAAGGAACGTTGAAATCTTCGTCATGAACCATGGCGGCAGCAGGTAAGGATTTTCCATGTCTAAAAATTTATCATTTTCTCATCCATTATCGAGTCGTTCAAAGATGCTCATAACTACTGAAAAAGAGGCCATTTTATTAAAAAAATATTCATGCATGCAATACAGCGATTCAGCTCTAAGCATTTAAACGTGACACTGATCAGCCTTCTGCTACGAAGGTATACCTGACTCGAGGACAAATGCCTCTTTGTGCCTTCGTCGCCGTCGCAAGTGAAACGTATTTTGAACCACAAAGGAGAAGGAAGCAGTCAAATGCTCAGGGTAAATGAACGGTAACCTTGACAGCTATGAAATGAAGTATCGACTGATGCGAAACTATGGAAACTGTGTGATCAAATAAACAACACGGTAAAATCTATTTTGCAAAGTGCCTATTTGGATAGCCATAGCTTAATTCCCAAAGGGAGCAACCGAAACACCACTTGATCACTTGACAGTTCATGAACATGTATATGCTAATGATCCGTCCAGGAGTAGTAGCAGCAAGTTCTGTCTATTGTCATTATGGCAAATGGCAAACGAAAAAGTCTGCTTTATTCAGCGATTAAAACTCGAAATTTTTTTGGGAAGGACTTATAATCACAGTGTCCTTTTCATGACCTGAAAAGAAACTAGATCTAAAATCTTATCATTGTTGTGACTGATAAGTTGATCGCTTCCGAATTCATGACTGTACTTCAGAGTTGTGATAATTGTTGACTAAAGTATACTTAACGATACTTCTATGTGACATGCCATCATTTACATTGATTCCACCCTATGTCACGGCATAACTGCTTAGGCTTGCTTTCTGGCAAGTCCTTTGGCTGAGAGAAGGATACAAAAATGCGGTTTTTTTAGAAAAGAGGTTAATGACTTGCAACTTAATTATTTACTTATTTTTTAGCTTCTTTGCTTAGTTACTTTCGTGGCAAATTCCATAATTCACTTAATTACTTCCTCACTTAGTTTCTTACTCGCATTCATACTTACTGTTTATGTTCTTTATAATCTATTGCTTACTTACCTACTTATGCATGTTTCAATCCGACAAACTTAAAAACTATAAAGTTAGTATAGAACGAAAGTGTAATATTCAGTGATTCAGTGAAGGCCAGCATTCCAACGGCTACAAACATTCTCTACATTTTTATAGCTCACTGATCAGACGTCTAAAAGTATTAGACAAAATACTGAACTCTGCCGTTGCCCGTCCCAAGCCCGGTTGAGATAGGAGGAGGGTTGGAAACCGTAGTGAAGTCTCCATAAAAGTTCGTCACCGGCCACTCATGGTATTGACGCCATCGAAAATTATTACATTATACCCCCCCCCCGGGTTATCAAGGGCAACAAAGGCTGTTGGAGGACTGAAGCAGATTGCGAAAAGTCAGCGATCAGAACCTGCTCATCGCCCTCTGTCAGCCAGGGCGTAGTAGCACAACAATGGATCACGAAGATCGACGGAATGACGACGAAGATACCAGTCAGCAACGGAGTCGCTACCCGTTCTGAACGGAGGAGGCAGACAGCACGATACCATTATAGCACGTCAGAAAAGGCTCACGAGAACGACACCACCAATGGGAGCTTACAGTCGGATTAACCTGGTGCAAATATATCGAAGGAGTCTGTTCCGGACTCCAGTTGTCTTCTGCCGAAGCTCAGACTCTGGGTCAAACGTTGTAAGCGCACTCTGATGCTTCTGCCTCCGCAACACGAAAGGAGAAGCGGCCATGGAAGATGAAGATGAAGACAAAATACTGAGTAAAGTACACGATATGGGCAGTATCACACAGGATTTAAGTACATGACTCCCAATACATTATGACATGCACAAAAATGTTAAAGTAAATTGGCTGCATTTATTCTGGTTACGCAAAACTCCAAGGCGAAGAATCTAACATTGATAAGTCCAACAGGGTCGCTCACAGCAGTATGACGGAAATGAAACGAAGATAGGTATCAATGATCATGCTAACCAAATTAGCTAACTGTCAATGAAATGACTATATGACTAATCATTCAGCAGCAGGCGTCGTAGCAAGGGCTCACTGCGATTTATCCCCTTAGCGCAAACAAAATATACTGTAGTCACAATTTGTTAACACAGTGACAGTAGCATAGAGAATATGCTAGCACTAGATCGGGCAGTAACTTGGCTAGTTTCGATATCCGCTATTGCTGTGGGTCGCGGAGGTAACAGCAAAGTTCCCGATCCCATGCCAGCGACTGAGCTTCGGCAAAAGACTTGAATCTGGAACAGAAACCTTTGATACAATAGGCCTAGGTCATTCTTGGCCACTCTCGGGATCTTCGACAGTCGGTTCAGCCAGTAGCAGCTGTTTCGTCTTCCAACACATTACACAACGAAAAAAAGTCATAGTTGCAATACGCGCAATCGTACCAAGCATATCTGAACTTACTTTTTAAATCGTCGACGCATAATTTCTTCGCCCCAATATATGCGCAGAAAGGCAACAACGTCGGTGATAGTTGGGTTACTTGAGCTACAGGTGATTTGTTTAGACTAAAATTACTTTGATAAACAACGTCCCATTACTATTATCATAAAGATAAAGATAAAATCACACCTGAAGGTGCGGAAGAACAAAGTTCGATGGGTAAAGCTGGAGAACGTCTTCTGGCAACTGAACTTTAAACAACGGATCTTAAGTAAGAGCATCAATAAGATGCAAGAACCGAGAGGGTGAAAAAATTTAAGTCGCCTAATACCTGAGTAAGCTGTGATTTTCACGAATGCGTCTCGTGAGCCTGTATTGATCATAAAAAACTTGGTCAACGTGCCCGTCAGCATTAATTCATAGGCGAACGAGTTTCCGCGTGTGGTCAGTCGTGGTATGACATCGGCACACCCGCCGAAGCCGTTCAGACGGATCTGAAATTTGTCGTTAGTTCAATTTTTACCACAGGAACTTTACACCAAGTCAATTAATTACTGAAAACTTTTGCCGTGACACCACCGGCAAGAACATGATCTTGTTTTGGTAGAATTGTGTCGCAGGTGGCTCAAATGACGCTCGTAAATGAAACGTTTCTTGTGGACCAAGCTGGATAAAGGACGACGCTGGCAGATTGTCGAGCTGAAAGTGAATTCACGTTAGAACCAGAGGCATAGAAGCCTTCTTTCGAAATCTGTCTCTGCTTAAAATAAGGTTTTAATTTAAGTTAATTTAACCTCAATAACATTATATTCGAAAGTAATTCTCTGTTCAAACGGTAGATGGAACTGCTTTTCGTTACACTTTTTACAGTACTTCCAGTCACACTTGGATATCTCGTACCTTGCTACGATAAATGCGAAAGTGACTGTCAATCATCCAGTCTAAACAGCTAATGTTAATACACTTATCCACAGAGAGACCCAAAGTAAAAACATGGTTTACCCCTAGCGTATCGATCACTTTAACGGCTGTCAAGGCAAAAATACCGCTCAACTTAATTTGCGTTGATATGGAGATGCCGTAATTTGACTAGAATTATGACTCTGCAATGAAAATATAATGTTCGATTTAGGCAGAGCATGAAGAGAATATTCAGCTAATTATTTAACTGTGTTAAATTTGACTCAGATTGAACAGAACAACGACAAAAAAAGAAATTATGATGATGCCCATAATACTATTTAAATTTAGCACTATTAAATTCTAGCAAATCCTTCTTAGCAAAGTGTCGAATCACAATTATCGAATCAATCACAATCAAAATAACAACTGATTAATTCTAAACTTATGGAAAAACATCGAACTGGGATTGAATACAAGACCATTTCAAGTCCAGTAGATGCATTTTCAAAACTGAGCATAAAACTATATCTAACAGGAAAACAAAAATATTAACGTTATCACTATAATCAATTATGTATTTAATTAAAAGACACCAACGATATCACGTGAATGAAGGCCTTTATCAGCACCTGCCATCCGTTGCTGGATGAATGCCTCTCTAACAATCTTCTATTTTGTGTGATTTTTATCCATCTTGATCCAACGTCAGCTCATCACGCCATCGATCCAAAGGTGCTCTTATATGTCGTTTACTCTCTCATGTAGCCCAGTCCAATGTCACGCTGTTTCAGCGATGGTCAGCTTTTCCTGCAACACGTCCTTTCCTTTGTTACTTAATCTTCTACTTTCGAGCAATGACATCGCAAACTCCTGTTTCCGCTCTTGTCCGTTTATTCCCCGTCTTATATTTTTTTGTTATTTCCATCATACATCTTCCCATGTTGCGTTAGGGTAGTCTGCAGTTCATGAATAGCTTTTCAGATTGAGGGAAACATTTTGTTTCAAACACAAGGGTAGTTTCTTTAAAAAGATATTTTCAATGTTACAAAAGTGCTCCATGCTATTTTTAATCTCTTGTCAGTTTCAAGTTGTTGGTTCTCCATTCCAGAAATTAGTTCATTCATATAGACCGAGTTTTGTACCTCTTTTTTCTCAATGCCACTGACTTTAACCAATGACAGAATCACGTATCTGCTAATCATAAACTGAGTCTTGTTCCGGTTCATTTTCAGTCTTACTTTGATGCTTCAGTCGTCAAGCTCTTAAATTTTTCTTTTCAATTCTTCTGGTGATCTTGACAAAATCAAAATGTTCTCTGCAAACCGTTTATGGCTTAATTAGTGCAAATTTATGTTCAGCGCCGTAGGAGTATCTTGATAGCTACTTTTACAGCTGCTGTGAATAACTTCAATAATATCGCATATTTCAATTTTGAACTTTGTGCTGTCATGAATTTTAAACTTTCAGCTTACTTGACCTGTCGTGAAGCTTCACGCAAGCAATTGCATTCAAATAATTCATGACGATGAAGTCGCTCTATCTCTCTTCTTACGAATCCAATACAGACCGGATGTAGACTTAATTCAAGGCCTTCTCGAAATCGACGAACCAGGCAGAGAGGAAAATGATATTCGTTGATCGCCTGAATTACTTGTCGTACCACCTGAAGACGATCCATCGTGCTAAATCCACTTTTTAATCGTTCGTGCTTCTTTAGCCGTGCAAAATTCAGCATTTCTTGACGTTTGCTCGTCAGCATCTTTGTTATGCTCTTGCATAGGACTGGTAACAAGCTGATCGCCTGTAGTTCTTCAGATCATCTGTACCCTTTCTGCAGAATTACTTGTGTTATCAGCCTTGCGCCTGCTGTATCTAAGGTTATCACTGTTATCAGCTGTGTATAAAATATAGAATATAATATAAATGTAGCGTACTCGCAATTAAGACAAAATATGTGTAGAAAACAAAAACAGCTCATTTAAAATAGTCATTAGTTTTGCCGTTCTAGTTTCTATTGATTCCATCACGCAAAATGTTGCATGATGCCTCCAAATTTTCCGTATACAGTCGTATTTTGTGTCCGTCACTTGTATCGCTTGAGAATGCCCTAAGATAAGAGATCATTCTCATTAGACACCAGGACTAATTAGGCTAGTTTTCAGGAACACGCTCACGTGCAGGAGATCTGCAATGTGTCCTAAGAGTAAAGCTTCGCCTCAGATGGATCAACGTCAAAACGTCAGACGGTAGCTCGCTCTGCCTCTATTTGTCACTGTTAGCTATTGATGCAAACGTAACCTAATGAATAAGTCGTATATGAAATAACTACTTAAAACTGCTCCCGATTCTGGGTCAGATACTGAATGAAATCTGGTTGTTAATCGACGCGTTTCGTCGCTGACAACAAATACATCCTCAGAATGCGTAGTATACCAAACAGTATGTGCCCTGAGGATAAAATGATCTTCAATGACGAAACTTATTGACTAACAAAAAAAACACTCTGCACATTGTATTTTATTGAAACTGAGTCCGAATCACGAGTCATAATTTCATGAACACTGAAATTCATAAATTTTATTTCGAAGATCCAGGATCAAGTATATGGATATTGCGAGTACGGGGCCAATTTTTTTAATTACTTATCTAATTATGGAGGCTTTCGTATTATACCGAAAATTCGATCAATCAGGTTTCGCTGTATTTAGCAGAAGACAGCGAACCTGAACTAGACTGAAAGAATGATAGCAAAGGTATGATGACAACTATGATCATTTTGAAACTCAACAGACTATAATAGCAACATGATAACCAGTACTAAATGAATGATAGTTATCACTTATTGAACGAAATGACCATTTACCATAACGATCTCGAAATGCTCTATTCAAAAAAGTAACCACTGAGAAAGGCAAAAGAAAACAAACTATGACTAATGTAAAGAACAACATTCCAAAGCAAAGAGTCGCAGTTACTCTCCGCAGCGTCTACATAATCAGACTCTGAAATAACGGTCTACCGGAGATAATGGCAACCAAAAGATGCTAGATATTGTAACTTCTCTGAATGAAACCAGTTTAGAGTGATACTCTAACTAGAATTCAGACGGAAGAAACTGGGGTTAATATTCAAAATAGCAGTAAGCACGATCAAATCATTCTCTCCATATCATCTACTATCTGCAGAGAAGATGATGTCATACATTAAGTAAGCTTCGAAATAAGTGGACTACAAACCTTGAAACCCGGTAGATCATGTTTCAAGAAGATCTTTATTTGCAGAATTTCCGTCGCTGAACCGTTGCGAAGTATCGCCACTTGGCTGACCGAGTCGCCACCTGCTTTTACACATCCAAAGAACATCTCCTGTTTATTGGTGAGCAGCAGTGATTTTGTAGATCTTGCTGACAATTCAGAAGTAAAATGTTGAGAAGACGGAGAACTGCGTTCATCACTGGTTCCCATATTTGAAGCACGTCCTTGGCCCTTGTCGGTTTTCATCTCGTAGCATGATGAGGATACCACGCACCCGTAGGCTTTGGGGTAGTCGGGAATTTTGAATTGTGACTCAGTTGTGGTCAACGGTTGTTTCTGTTTTTGCAACTGAGGTGTGAAGGAGGTACTTTGAATTTTTTCCCTGAGGGAAACGGAAGTAGCGGGGCCAGTCGTCGCCGCATCTACGACTCTCGTGGACATGTTCCGCGACTGAGCAATATATTGCTCCCGAGCCTTCAGAACCTTGTTCATTAGAAATGTCGAGCTGTTGTTCATTGACATATCGTGCAGAAGGCCGTCAAATGCACTCATAGCCAAGGTAGAAAACTCATCACGATCACTGCTGTATTGAAAATCATCGCTGTTGGAGGGCTCAAAGCATGAATGTTGCTCCGTCGGCTTTGATTTCTTCTTTTGAAGCTGGTTAGAATATCTCCCCTCTCTCTCGTGTTGGTTTATCGCGGTTGCGGCCTCAACGTGTTGTGATCTTTCGATGCTGCCTGGTCCACCTGAGTAATTTGGCCCATTTGCATCATTCTTTGGCTTAACACCAACGTCATAAAGATTATCTAAACCGGTAGCATCATCTAAAATGCACAGAAATGTAACAAAAAATACATATTTTCTGCCTGATTCCCACCTTTTCCTCTGGAAATGTTTGAAGAAGTATGCAAAGGCGATACTGAACTGAAACCAAAACTTGGCTGAAAAAAAAATTTAAAAAATACTTTTAAATTAAAAAAGCCACAGAAATACAAACCGGATCAACATCTGAGTGACTCAGCGAACCTACAGCTCCGGATTTACTTTTCAACAACGTTCCTGGTGATACGTAACTATTTTCTCGAGACGACATCCACTCCGGTTTCCTAACAAGTGCACCTTTGTGAGTACTCCAATCGAAATTTGTCGGTCCGCCGGTTTCCAAAGCTAAGCCGTTCTAAAAGATAGATCATATCGTACGATTGGAAATCTGGCAGTTGAACTTTTTTAATAAACGACGGAATGGTATCAAGCATGTACAAGCGGCCAAGGTTTGCTACGAAACCGCCGGGAGTTTACCTCTGTCTGCTGCGCTTCTGATCACTTGCTTCACGTGATGATGTTACTTTAGCCTTGACGCCAAATTTTGCCTTATGAAGGAAAACGTTCAAACAAAATATCACTGTAATTCTGTTTCTTGCGATAGCGGTCCATCAGTTTGTCAAAAATGATTCGGGGCAATTCACTTGTGTTGAAATATTCGATGCCATGTCTCAACTGAATTGTTGGTACGTTTAAGAGTGGCGTTAACGCGGTAAAGCATGTACCAGAAACTAATAAGAAATCCTGGATTTTCTAAACGACTCATAGTCTTGTGAAGCAACTGTCTCGTCAATAATCAGTAGTTAACGAGGAAAGAGGAGTGCTGTTCTCAACCAAATCATCAAAGCCTTCAAAAACATCTGTAGCTGGGACAAATCTTAGAACTAAAATCATTTTTATTTCGACAAGCACGTTCACTTGAACACGCTAGGCTTTGGTTGAATAGAATTCCTCAACTTTACTCTATTTTGAAGGAAATGTTTCTTCAGATTCCATAAATGGCATGAAAACAAATTTGAGGGCATTTTTTGGGCCGCCAAACATGGAATCATTAGACCTTCAAGTCATCCACAACACGGTATCGGTATGAGCTTCAGAAATTATTGGCATTTGGTTTCTTGAATATATTTGTCAGAGTGCCATTATGCATCATTTAAAACAATTCCGTCTTCTAAAACCATCCTATAAACA